CTGTTGACACATTCTGGATTTATAGCCTCCAGAACCATAAGATGGTAAGTTTGTGGTGGGGCATGGTGGAGCATGCCTGTAATCCCAACAATTTGGGAAACTGAGGCAGAAGGATCACAAGTTCAAGGCCAGCCTTAGCAACTTATCCAGGGCCTAAGCAACTCAGTAAGACCCTGTTTCAAAATTAAAAAAAAAAAATGACCGAGAATATAGCTCAATGGTAAATGCTTCTGGGTTAAATTCTCAGTAGTCCCTACTCTCAGGGGGAAACACACACACACACACACACACACTAAGTTTCTACTATTTTAAGCCACTTTGTTCCTTTTTTTATATTCCATTACAGCAAACTTAGGAAATTAATGCAAAGTATATTGAGTGATATAGTTTAAAGTGAACAGAAATTGGATATAAACAGTGACAGTGAGATATGTTAGTCAGCTTTTTGTCGCTGTGACCAAAATACCTGACAAGAACAACACAGAAAAGGAGACATTTATTTAGGCTCACAGTTTCAGAGATTCAGTCCATGGTCAGCTGACTCCACTGCTCTGGGTCAGGGTGGGTGGAGCCAAACTTTATAGTGGAAGGGCATGGTAGAGGAGCATTGCTCCCCTCATGGGAACCAGGAAGCCAAGAGGGAGGGGAAGTGGCTGCAGGGTACATGAACCCTTCCAGGGCATGCCCCCACCACACTGGACCTGCCTACAGTTATCAGCCTACAATTACCTGCCCCTAGTAAGTTCATTCAACCTAGGATGGCTCTTACAACCCAATCATTTTGCCTCTGAATATTCCTGCATTAACAGGAGCTTTTGAGGATACACCTTACATCCAAACCATAATCTGTGCTGTTCATAAAAAGTCATGAATCTAAAAGACATTAATGAGGTAAAAGAAACAAGAGTGCTAGGTGTGGTGGCAGTCACCTGTAAACCCAGCTACTCGGGAGGCTGAGGCAAGTAGAACACCTGAGCTCAGGAATTCAAGGCAAGCCTGGATAATGTCATGAGACTCCCCCCATCTCCAGAAGGAAGAAGAGGGAATGGAAGAAAGAAAGGAAGGAAGGGAGAGAGGGAGGGAGGAAGGAAAGAAGGAAGGAAGGGGGCTTAGTGATGGACTGAATATGCCAAAGAAGAAGGAGGAGTCCAAGATAGAAGAAGCTTTTTTCCTATCTTAATCAACCTTAAGTGGTGTCTAAACTACTTTGGTGTCTTTATTACATTTCTCCCAAGGCCAGGGATCTTATAAATATCCCCTTACTACTTCCCCTGGATAGTGTTAACAAATCAAGCTATGCTTCTGACCTCTTATTCAAACCTTTCTTTGGGCTAGAATTCCATTTTTCATTATGTTGGTTTATAATATCTTTACAATATCCTGTTCTTTATATCCAGTCCCTTTAAGAGACTTTAGTTGACCTGCCCACTTTTTTCCCATTTGAGTTTTGTCCTGAATGTTATCTATGAAATTATTCTTAGCTATGAATTCTTTCACCTTTAGATCAATTCTGTCTCTTCACTATATACAGCACAACCCCCACCCCGTTACAGCTCAGATTTAATACTACAAGCTCTCACTTATCTAGAGAGCTAAAATAGATACTTAAGCCATGAACCAATCTGTAAAACACAGAAAAAGAAAACATGTGAAGAATGATACTGAGTTCACCTTTGGACATTGTACAGAATAGGTACTTTTTCCCCCCACAAAGGCAAGACATTGACCCCACTTTCCTCAAGACTACAACTACTTCATACATCCAATCAAAGCAGATGGTCTAGTACATGTTCCTATCCAAATGACCAGATATTTTAACATGTGTATTCAGCTTTCTATCACTATAACAGATAACTGAAATAATCAATTTATAAAGAGGAAAGGTTAACTCCAGCGAATAGTTTTAGAGGTTTCAGTCCATGAGTGGTTGGCCCTATAGTTTTAAGCCTGTGGCAGCACATCATGGCAGAAGCATATGGTAGAGTCAAGCCACTTACTGCATAGCTGGGAAGTGAAAGAGAGAGAGGAAGGAGACTGGGTCCCACAATCCCCTTTGAAGACACACCTCCCAGTGATCTAAATACTTCCACCCACTAGATCCCACTTCTTAAAGGTCCACCACCTCTGAATAGTGCCAAGCTGCTGACCAAGCCTTTAACACAACCTTTGGGGAACATTTAAGGTACAACTTATAGCCGGTATGAACACCTTTTCCAAACTGAACCAACAAAACTGTCTCTATAGAGGAACAGAAATTAAACTCTGTATGTGTCTAAATATCTAACACAAAATTAATGCAGCAGCTATAGTCTTCCCTATAGACTATGCAGCACAGAAAAAAATAAGCAGATGTTAGAAGGAAGTAAAGATGAGAGAGATGGAGAGATATGGGTTCTGTAGTGTAGTTTTCTTTTTCTTTCTTTCTTTTCTTTTTTTTTTTTGTCCCAATACCTTTCTGATGCCAGCAGCTTTTCTGCTTGTGAATTCTATAAAAACATGTCTACATCCTTAGGACAAGTGCACTCAGCTTTTTATATTACCCTCACTGGAGTTTGTTTCAAAGAATCCTAAACAACACAGATGTATTGAGTATAAAATGTGAACTTCTAAGAGGAGAGTAGTTGGAAATACAAGTCTAAACTTAAAGCAGAAGTTGTAGGAGAGTGTATGGTTTGGGTAAGGGAGTAACTGAAATCACTGGAGTAGATGAAGTTCTTCATAAAGGTGTAAAGAGATGAAGTAAAAAGGGGGAAGAGATGAAGGATGAAGATCAAAGAATCTTCAATATTTAAGATATGGATCACAGAAAGAGGAGTCAGTGAAGAAGTTTAAAAAGAACAGAAAACCAGGAAAAATGATTTTGTGGAAACCAAGAAATATAAGTGTTTAGGTTGTACTACAGAAAACGGAGCCACTAATAGTTGCAACGGGTGTTAATTTATTTGTCTCAATGGGCTGTACAGAACTGGTATAACACATAAGCAAAGTCATCAGGGACCCTAATTCCTTCTCCTACCATCTTCATGGCACAAGATGGTTGTTACACCTTCCAGGGAGTAAGAAAGAAGAAAAAGTGAAGGGTGCCATGTCCTTACAAAAAGAAGAACTTTACAAGACACGACACTACACAAACACACACACACACACACACACACACACACCTCAATGGTCAGAACTCCGTCACTTGGTTATCCATAACTGAAGGAATGGTAGGAGGTCAAGGAGAATGATAGCTAAAGATAGATGATAGTGGTGTGGGAAGTGAGGATAGTGAAGGTGGGGAGTTGGATTTAATAATTACAAAGTTCCTAGCAACCTTATCTAAAGCAATTGTTTCATGGGTATAGTAGGCATAGAAAGTATATTAGGGTTATACTAGACTTACTGAAGACAAATTAGTAGGTGAGTAATGAAAATAGATGGTTCTTTCTGATGTGTGAAAAGGAGAATTAATAGAGAAAGCAAAAATCTGAAGGAAAGGCATAATGAAGAGGTGTTTTGCTTGGTTTTAAGATTGTGGATAATTGTATTACGTTTATAGGCTGAGAGATAGGAACAAATGGAGAGCCAGAGAGTTGAGGTATAAAAGGCATAAAATAAAGGTCAACTGTTAGGGGAAAGCCCAAAAAGATAAATGACAAGGCATTCTTAAAAGTAAAACCTCTTACTCCAAATCAAGAAAGGAAGTAAGGACAAACAACAGTAGTGGTAGCAGTTAGATGTATCTAAGAAAAAAAAAAAAAAGTGGAATTGTTGAAAATTTTGTTTCAGTAAGCATGAACTTTAAAACCATTTTTTTAGGTTTCTTTATTTTTTTATTAGCACTTTATGGTTATACATAGTAGTTGGTCATCCCAACAAACTCATACATGCGTGATAATCGGTTTCAGTTCATGATCCCCCTTCCTCCTCTTCTACTAGACTCTCTTTCACCTATTAATTTGCATTTGATTGTTTCTTCATTTAATCTTATCCTTCCCTCCCCTTCTTCTTTATCTTACTCTAGCTTCCGCATATGAGAGAAAACATAGGATCTTTGGGTTTGGCTAATTCCACTTAGCATATTCTCCATTTCCATCCATTTACCAGCAACACCATAATTTCATTTAAAAAAAAAAAGTCGTTTAACTTAGATTTAACTTTTTAAGAATACGTTTTGGATTCACTACTATTTAATTTGAGGAAAGGCATGAGAAGGTAGTAAATTCTCTCTAGAATTTAGTTTTGCTTTATTTTCTTAGATGGTTGACCAAACAATCCGAGACTAACTGTAGACTCCCCGCTCCCCCCACCCCCCCACCCCCATTATAGAGAAGAGCTGGAACTTTTATGAGCATCTAAACATTTCACTTTTTTTCTCCCTTCCTTCTCCAAGGTCGTGGGCCCCAAAGGACATGAAGGAAATACGCGATATTTTTCTCAAAAGACAGTGAAGAGACCACACCACGGTGGCAAACAGCAATGGGTAGTCCTTATTAGAAGCATTCAGAAGTAGTTCCGCAAATTTATTTTGATCATGTTTTCAACTCCTTTGCCTTAGAACACTTAGGAGGTGGCGCTCAACAAGACTAGACAATAGAAAGCCGCCAAGCGGGACCTTCAGAAGGGCGGAATGTAACAAACCGATTAAAGAAAAAGCAGGAGAACAGAATAAAGCTATGGCCTCCTGCTCTTCCAAAATCAGAGCCCTAATCTGACAAGCCCGCCGGGACGCCCGTAAGATAATCACTCTCACTTTTCATTGGCTGACCCTCTCGGAGTTGAGACCTTGATTTATTTTCATTGGTTGTTGCTGCCGTCACGTCCTTTCGCCACTCCCACTTTCGCGTCAGCGCCCAGTGAGCTTTGGAGTAAAGTGATTTACAGCGGTCAGGGGCGGGAACTGGCGTGCCGCAAGCGTGTCTCCCCCTCTCGGGCGCCGCGGTCCCCGCCCCGCCCCCCAGCCTGAGGCCCCGCCCCCGCCCAGCCGGGCCCCGCCTCTCCCTCCCAAGAGGGCGGGGACCAGGCGGCGGCCACAGCCGCAGGAATATGCTGGAAGCCGGCAGGCTGGCGCCCGGGAGGTGCTGAAGGGACAGTTCCCGCGCCGAACTTGCCCGGCCGAGCGCGGGTGGGGCGGCCCGGAGCCGGTGGGGCACGTGAGCCATGGAGACCATCTGGATTTACCAGTTCCGCCTCATCGTGATCGGGGACTCCACCGTGGGCAAGTCGTGCCTCTTGCACCGCTTCACCCAGGGCCGCTTCCCCGGGCTGCGCTCCCCTGCCTGCGACCCCACGGTCGGCGTGGACTTCTTCTCCCGCCTGCTGGAGATCGAGCCGGGCAAAAGGATAAAGCTGCAGCTCTGGGACACGGCGGGACAGGAGCGGTTCAGGTAGGGCCGCCTGCGCCGAGACCACGGGGACCCAGAGGGCGGGCAGCCACCCCGCCTGCCCAAACGGCCCCTCCCCAAGCGCCGGCCCCGCCAGCCCTGGTCCGGAGAGGCTTTGGCCCTTCCCTCCTGAAAGTGCAAACACTCCATTCTTGCTTCCCCTTTGCCCCTCCTCTTCCAGGGACGACTTCCTCCTCCGCAATTTCTCACTTCTTTCTTTGGCGCCCACTTCCTGCGCCCCCTTTCTATTTCTCCTTTCCCGCCTGAATCAGGGTCACCCTCGCGTTCCCTTCTTCCCCAACTCTTTCTGCCCCTGATGGCATTTTGATCCCCTTGGGCTCCGCCGCTGTTTTCTCCCCTGCCCGGCTTCCAGTCTGAGCACTCTACGATCCGATCATCTTCCTCCAAGTGCCCCTTTTCGTGCCCTAACCAAGAGGCGCCCTGTCTACGCGGCCGGGGAGAACTGTGAAGTAGTGTTCCCTGATTCGTGATTGATCCTTAAGCTTGACAGCAAGCAGAGTCCCAACCCAGGCTACTGCATGAGCTCACTGGGCATGGTTCACGGGGAGATGGATGCGGTAATGGTTTGAACACCTCACAGCACCGAATGTGGTCATCAGAAAATACTGGGCCATGACCCGTGGGAATGGTTTATAGGACAACTACGTGCAACATCAGGGACATTGGCACTGCTGAAGTTGTGTGAGTGTGTGAGGTGGGGGTAGGGGGTGTTTAAAGGTTCGAATTGTCTTTAGAAGTTTGTCACCATTGGTTCGTTGATGGGGTGTGGGGATATATCTATCTACTTACAGAGAGGCGGGGGCGGGGGGGGGGAAAGAAATTTGTCAGGAGCTTCTTTATTTCACTTATGATCGCTTCTTAATGTACCAGGGTGATAATAGAACAGAAAATAGATTTCTAAATAGAGAAAGAGGGACCCAAATAGTCTCATTCTAAAGGTTCACTGGGAGTCTAAAGGATTTCACAAAGGCAGCTCATGTAACTAAATAGTAAACGAAACTCTGCGCATTTCTTGGATATTTGAGATTGATCCAAATTTAAAGCACATTTTCAAGTCCTATGATTCAAGGACACTTTATTTTAAAGGAAAGTAAGAAAGCCGATATCTTATAGTGTTTTGGTTCTTAATGATCACATTATCATTTGAATCTCATTTAAGCAAGCATTTTGTGTTCCTCAGCAAATACTCTGTTCGTGAAATAGTGTTCCTTGAGGGGACTTCCCAAACATGGCTTCCCCTTACCCCCAGCCAGCATCCATCCGAATGAGATCAGCCTACATCTTGAGAATGTCCAATATTCAGAATTTTGGCTTTCATTCCCAGCTGTGACACTGATTCATAGAGATAATAAGGGAACTGCTTAGCTTGCTTATACATTAGTTTTCTTGTGTATGAAATGGAAAGTTGGTAAGGCCTATCTTCTGACAGGTGTGAAAACTTATTGATTTGATTTATACAATACTTGAGATTCCATGAAGAAATTCTGTTTCTTTTTCAAGAAGTCTTCTTTAATTAAAATAGCTTTTCAAACTTGTCATTCATCTGTGAAAGGCAGGTGTCATTATGATCTCAAAGATTTCTTCCCAGTTTTAACTCTCAGGTTGGTTGTAAATTTTTCTGTGATCTCAATCAGAGATGAACTTTGAAATGTTTCAGGTGTAGAAAAAAACTTTTATTAAGTAACTCTTTCTCTGTCCTCTAAACAGTACAATAAAAACATGACATTTGTGCCTTCAACTTCAAGTAACTTCTAGGAGTTACAACTACAAGAAACATAGGTAATAAAATCTTACTGTGTCTAATTGTTTGCTTATAAGTAAGTGACTCCTCAACTTTTTGACAAGAAAGTAAAGGATAATTAATTTGTTTGACTTTAAAGACCTTTTTGCTAAATAGATGATTGGGTTTTAATGCTTCTGAGAAGAATGTAAATAGTAATTCATTTTATATACATTATTAAAAGCACACAGTAACTCTTTCATTGTAATGCAAGGACATTTAGGGAATGTTTACTGACAATGAGTCATACTTTATTTTGTTTGGCTCTTTACCAAAGATATATTCACAAATACATATTTCAGTAGCTATGTCCAAATGCTTAGCTTTTCTATCATGTAGCAGAATGTTTTACTGTAAAATTGCATTTAAAGTGATTACTATTAAATCATCTTGTATCTTTATCCAGAAAAATATACTTACTTTGAATAATAGATATTCTTGCACATTTTATTTCATAGAAAATGATACTTGAAGATACATTCCTGTGATTTCTCATAATCACACCATGAGAAATTTTTGGTAAACACTGTATTTGGGGGACTGGGCTATAACTCAGTGGTAGAATGTTTGACTCCTATGTGTGAGGCACTGGATTCGATCCTCAGTACCACATTAAAATAAATAAAGATATTGTATGTCCATGTACAACTAAAAAAAATAGTAAAAAAAAAAACTGTATTTGGAGGTTTATTGGTGGTTAGACATAAACTTACAAAAGGATCCTACTTTAGAAACTTATGGAGTAGCTTAACATAAAAATATGGAATATTACTCAGCAATAAAAGAGAATAAAATCATGGCATTTACAGGTAAATGGATGGAGTTAGAGAAGGTAATGCTAAGTGAAGTTAGCCAATCTCAAGGAGGCTGATTCATAGTGGGATAGAGAGAGGGAGCATGGAAGGAATAGATGAACTCTAGATAGGGTAGAGGGGTTGGAGGGAAAGGGAAGGGGCATGCGGTAATTAATGATGGTGGAATGTGATGATCATTATTATCCAAAGTACAGGTATGAAGACACAAATTGGTGTGAATATACTATGTATACAACCAAAGATATGAAAAATTATGCTCTATATATGTAATAAGAATTGTAATGCATTCTGCTGTCATATATAAATAAAAATAAACAAATAAAAAATATGGCTCAGAACAATAGAACAGCTGATAATTATGATCATGATTAGCTTGTTTTCAGTCTTTAGATTAACGTATTCTAGTAAATGATAACTACCTATATGACATAAAAAGGAACAAACTCAAAGTGAAAAAAGTTTTCAAACAAGTGTATATGTGAAAAAAAAAAGTGTATATGTGACCATATTCTAAACTATAATATAAACTTAGATATTAATTTTCTGTTATTAACATTTCTTTAATGAAGGAAAATGTTAAATTTCTGTGTTAGGGAAACTCAGAATTACCGTGCCTTCAATAAAAATAGAAGTTTATTTTTCTCTCATATAATACCTAGGCCCCATATCTTATGTAATAATAATATAATCATAATAATCTCAAGGTAAGTGGTTCAAGTTTGTGTAGTAATTCTGCTCTAGGTATCATTCAGATACCTTATCTTTTAGTTTTCTGCCATCCCTAGGACATTTTCATCATCTGCATGCACAAAAATTGGATTGCAGGCACACCATGTAGGCTCAGAGCAAAGGGAAAGAGATCTAAACCAAGTGATGTTCCTTTTGAAAAAATTAGGACAACATGGTACAGACCATTTAGACTGTCACTTCCTTAAAGAGAACTTTAGTTACAAGGCCACACAGACTAGGCCACCATGTGCCCAGGAGGTAGGGAAGATGTTTGGCATTGTTGTTGGGAACACTATCAATCACCACTTTTAATATTTTTTTTTTCTTTTTCTTCTCTTTCTCACCTCCAATACTGGGAATTGAACCCTGACTGCCCTACCACTTTTTAAAAATATTTTTTAAATTTTGAGGCAAGATCTTACTGAGTTGTCCAGGCTGACCTTAATCTTAAAATTTTCTTGTCTTAGCCTTGGAGTTGCTAGGATTATAGGCATGTATCGCTACACCTAGCATCACTTTTTAAAAAATTTTAATCACAGGAGAAGTGTCACAGTAAAGAAAATAAGAATAATGTTTAATACAGTGCTAATAAGGATAAGTATAGTAGTAGGCTGGAAATATGGAAAGCATTAAATATAAGAATATAAATTTTGAACTTTTTCCATAAAAAACATTTAAAGTAATAAAAATATAAAGTTTTATGATTTGGATGTGGTTTGTTTCCCAAAGATTCATGTATGGAAGCTTGGTTCCCTACATGGCAGTATTAGGAAATAGTGGGACCTTTAAGAAGTGGGCCCTAGTATAAGGTAATTTTGGGGTTATTATGGGTATCACCTTTGAAAAGAATTAAGTAATTCTTATGGGACCCCAGTTAGTTCCACAAGAGTGAACTATTATTAAAGAGTTAGTCTGGTTCCTCTCTGCTCTCTGGCTTCCTATCTTGACATGTGATCTCTCCCTTTTACACGTTTCCACCATGATACCATCCCCTATGACATAATGTAGTCAAGGAGAGCCTCACCATTCCCAGAGCCATGTAGTTGGGACTTTTTGCCTCCAAAAGTAAACTAAATAAACCTCTTTTCTTTATAAAACCTCTGATATTTTATTATAGTAACAGAAAATGAACTAATACATAAAGTGGAATAAGGAAGTAGCAATGTTGATGATAGGAATATGAAATCTCCAGGATTCAAGACAGATTTGGCCTTTTTTCCACATTGTCTGTGGTCTTGGGGTGTTGTAGTTATAGCCACTGAATATAAAGGTCAGAGAATAATGTCCTCCTCCTGCAGTGCTTGCAGGGTATTTTCTGCAGATCATATCCATTGTGATTCTTTTTGAAAGATGAGTTCTGTGATCATATAAGTTTGGACATTTCTGTATTCCATATAACATTTCCTTTAAAATTCATATCTAAGCTCTAAGAATTGCAGCAAAGAAACCTGCTTAACTTTGATTAAACTCCATTTCCCAAATTTATTTGAGGGACTATTTTCAAAATATGAAAATCTATGATGACAGTGTTCTAAGGACTGTCATTTGGGAAAAGCTCCCTCTGATGATGAATTGCTTTAGTCACTTGGGGGTGGTGGGAGGGCAGAATTACTACATATTTAAAGTTTGGAGCAATGGAAGACATGCATACATTAATT